TGTTTCGCTACTTAGCGATTTCCCTAAAGACCTAATATATATACCGTGTGGTATTTCTCAGGACCGGATCGTAAGACTCCCTTCTCTCAACGCTCTTCATAATAAAAGGATGATAGTAAGGTTCCGAACGTTTATTTCTCTGAGCCTTCAATCTACATAAGTTTAATAATTCCACAGAAAAAGCTTTGAGTGATAAATCATACGAATACAATAAATAATTCACTCAGGCATTAAAAAACTGTGGCTAGGAACCAACAAACACATATATAAATATTAATCATACTATAATCAAGACGATAAGCATAAGTATATATAAAAATAGTTACCACAGTGATCCCAGAATTCTGGACACGGTTAAAACTTGCAAGACGAATAAACATATACTGATATAAATTATTCACTATTCCGCGAGAAATCTTGCGCCTGCGTAGTCAGTCTGTAAACAGTTCCTAAAACTAGTTCTTTCACAATACATTCCGTACAGATCTTCAGGGAGAACTCAGAAATACACAGGGGTGACAAGCAGACTTTATACACGCAGCATGGCTCGCGTAACATCAATTAAATATTTATTTTAGAGATAAATATGGAACCATGTACATTTCTTTACAGATTTTGGCAATTACTCTTTTTAAAATTATATCTGGATATCTATGTCCAAGTGTTCTTGATCTCTGTGTCCGAGCTGTCTATATCTCTGTGTCCAAGTTGTCTGGATCTCTGCTTTCTAAATATCTGAATCTCTGTGTCCTAGTTATCTGGATCTTTGTGTCCTTGTTATCTGAATCTCTGTGTTATAGATATCTGCATCTCTGTGTACGAGCTGTCTGTATCTCTGTTTCCTAGAATTCCTCTGTTTCTCTTTGTATTATATATCAGGATCTCAGTGTCTTATATATTTGGATCTCTGTGTCTTTGTTGTCTGGATCTCTGTGTCCAAGTTATCTAAATCTCTGTTTCCAAGTTGTCTGTTTCTCTGTTTCCAAGAGGTCTGTATCTCTGTGTCCTAGTTTTCTGTATCACTGTGACCTAGTTGTCTGTATCTCTGTGTCCAAGTTGTCTGTATCTCTGTGTCCAAGTTGTCTGTATCTCTGTGCCCTAGTTGCATGATCCTAGCCGATACAAGATTTGTACTGTCCAGTTGGGAATACCCCGTGTACAGTGGACCCAGCACGGTTTATATAACAAATGTAGCCTGGCCAGATCAAAATGATGTCTAAATATTTGGCGGATCATAACTTGCTTTACATGTGAACACATCTGCCATATAGCTATTAATAACTCGTAAATGTTTTCTTTATAAGAATCTTCTGAAATATTCAAACCCTCAGTTGGAAACTGGACTAGGATAGCGGACTTAAACTCTCCCAGGTAAAAAAAGGATTTCAGACATATTTTTTATATTATTTTTCAAAAATGCTATTTTGTTTGGTGTGTTAAGTTTTTTGCTAAACCTTGAGTTTTTATATAATTTTAGAGAATATAATGCTGTTCTGACCACTACAGACGGGGTTTATGCCATCGGTCAATCTAAAAATAATAATGAAAAGGTAAACTAACTAAAAAATCAATTCAAGATCATTTCCAAAACAAAAGAAAGCGAAATTTCTTGTTTCAAGGTCACAAGATAAATTTCCCATTTTCTTTTGAATATTGTTTAGATTGAGAAGCTGGATATTGAAACTAAAACCTGGATTGATACTGGACTAAGATTTTCAGCAGCTTACACTTATGCTTTTGCCGCCACTGCAATCCCTGTTAATATCGTGCCTCCTTAAGAGGCCCTTTATTACGTATAGAACTGCATGTCTGATTCACAACAGTATACTTTCAACTTTTATTTCGTTTATTCCAGACACAACGACAAAGATGTCGTTTTTCTAATGTAAAAGTTTTAAAATTTTTAAAATAAACGATAATTTACTTGTTTGTCTTCACAGCATAAATCAGCAAATAACTTTTGTATAAACGCCAAAGTTTGAAATGTAAACATCATGAATCTGACTTTCCAATCTATAGATTCATTAAACATTAGAGTAGAGTATAATGAATTTAACCATTTTATTATGATTCTGCTTAACGCTTTTTTGATATAATCATTGCATAAATGTTAACTGTATGCTTTATAGGAAATGCACAAATATATTAAAAAATTGTGATTTTAATGAAATAAAACATGTTTTTTTTTAAATTTTTCTTTACTCTAGCTTGCCAACTTTAGCCTTACATAATCCAGACTAAACCAACACCAGGCTCGAATATATTTAGAAGACGACATTCTATAAGTCCATTGAAGCCAAGAGAATACATATTTGTACAATTAATTGATACATTAGTACCTCTTGCAATACAAATTTGTGTCATTTTATAACGTAAATGTTTACAAAATTCTGTTTTGTTTAATATTAAGATCAGTTTAATCCTTTTAACGTTTATTGGACACAAACAAAAACACAAACACCAGGACACCCATGGAGAGACAAGAAAACGATATTTATATAGATTTAGATATTTTCTTACAGTAAGATAAAATTATTATTTTTTTTATTAAATCTATAAAATTATAATTTATGTAATGTTTCCATGATGATTAGTAAGAAAATTGTGATATGAAAAATCTTTAGTACAACAAAACCTACTCAATGTGCATATTTGGCCTTTTTTGTTTTCATATTATCTAATATATATATAATATAGGAACTCTTCAGTACAAAATTCTAAATATAATTTATAAACTATAACTAAATTATTCTCTAAATCAATTATTTTTATTTTCTTAAAACTGGCTCATAATAAAATTGGTTTCCCCACCTCGCATAGTTTAACTGTAATGCTTACCCCACCTCGCCTAGTGTTTGTTCTGTCTGGATGATGTGGCCTCATAACATTTTTTAAAAAATCGAATAAACATATTGCTATTTTATACTTTGACTTTGATCTATTTNGATTAAAAGTAAAAAATGAATTCATGTGAGGGTATATAAGTAATTCACTATAGTTTCAGTAAAAGTAAATATTTCCATTTACTGTTAGTTCCGATATAAGGATTTTTCCATAATTGGATAATAATGAGATAGCTAGATAGAAAGATAGATGATACTGCCATGCAATTTCTATTGGCTCAGGATAGACACAAAACACATGACTGAACCCTGATTTGATCAGACGCTAATGGAATAGCATACAAGTGTGAATTTTACATTTTGATCTTTATTTTATGTCGTCTTTTATATTGATCATGTCTTATGATATTATTTACTTTACTAAGAAGAATTTTCTTTAAAGTCCAGAACCCAGCATGGATCAACTCTTTTATATCCCACCTGAAATGCTCGACCCTTTTTATATTTAGGCCTTACTATAAGTACTATATTTTACTGTCTAGTAATCGTTGCCAAACTATCCTTTGGGAAATGATTAAATGTTGTGTTGAATTAGTGATATGTTTCATCAATCTTGATACTAAAGTTTGTATGTTTACAAATCAAACGTTTTTTTTTCATTTAGTGCCTGCAATTTACTTGCGGTTATTTTACCATGAAAAAATTAGAAAAAATGCTCAACATGAAAAGGATTGAACTTATCGATATCGACGTTTAACTTTGTGACGCCCTGCATCTTTACCCTCTCTATTAAAAGTTTGTGTTTCCGTTAAATTCTCAAATAGAATAAGACAAGTTTAAGTAATGCCCACAAAGGCCTTACTGAACTCCGCATCATTAGTATCGTTTTATACGAGCTAATCATAATTCAAAGACAGGCCGAAAATATAGGAAAAAGTAAAACAGGGTAAATAATATTTTTTTTTAGTTTTTCATCTTATTTCAATCTCTTTGTATTATTTGTTTCCATATCTAGTGAATTTTTATTTCACGTTGATATTTGAGTTTATTAGACACTATGAGTTATAGACTTTCGTTGCCATTTTAAGTCCGTCGGTATACTTGTCACGTGATACATATAGAGACACGAGAGCAGTAAACTACACTCTCAAATTGGTGGTAGTGTAATAATGGACGATTTTGATAAAACCTGTAATAATATTGTTTAGATTGAGAAGCTGGATATTGAAACTAAAACCTGGATGATCATAGCTACCTAGGGGCATCATGCCCCCTCCTCCCCCCCCCCATCTTTTACCCTATGGTTAGACTTTTGAATCCTATTTTGAATCCTAACGGATTTATTTGAGTTTGCATGTGGATTCTATAAATAACCCAAGCGACGCCGAATTTTCCGTTATCTCGAAGACCCAAGCGTTGGGGAGGGGACGGACCAACCCCGGGGTAGCTAGGGTTAAATGCAAACCAAGGATGGAGCGAAATGCAGGGAAAAGGGTAGTTGATGATCAGCTCCCTTATACAGAGGTTCCCTTGAAGATTCTCCATCACCCTGAAACTGTTTCGATTCACAATATCTGATTAGTATAGTATCAATCGTATATTTTTTGTATCTTTGTAAAATATAGTATAAGAAAAACCGACTCGACGAATATATTATTTTCTAGTGGTTGCATTTAGTATTTTTTTATTCATATACAATAGTAGTTCTAGTCGCGTAATACGGACTTAAAAATAATATGATCAATTATATCTATTAAAAATAAGAATAAAAATTATAAAATTATAATTGGAATAAAACCTTACCTACAGTTAGGTTTCTCTGGGATATCTTTGTTTTCAGATTGATTCCGTATTTGCTGAATATTATCTGTTTAAACCTATTATTTCTATACAAAATTGTATATATATAAATTTTTTCATAAATTTGACACAGTTTTATATAAATTTCTCGGACAGGAACATCTTTCATGGGTCGCGATCAAGAGCTAAAGTGATTAGCTTTCAGCCTATACCCGATTTCATTTTTTCTTTACAGTCCCTTTAAAAGCCTTTAAAAAACAATGCTTGTCTCTAATACAATCAACAAATATTATAAGAATTATAGGGCGAACATGTTCTCTTTGTGTACATTGTAAAAAAAATTGCGGATTTTACAAAAAAAAACTTTAAAACGCACGTTTTTTAATTTTGATCATTCATAAACCTTCCCTGTGGTCACATGAGATGACACAAAAAATTAGAGCCCAATTGGTTCACCCGTTTAGACGTTTATTGGATACAATATAGATGTGACAAACAAACACTAAATTTATCACATAGCCTTTAAATGCATCTTTTGAAGGATGTGATTTAATGTAAAGGGACCTATAAATCAATAGTGGTTTTTCTATTTTACATCCTTATATGTAGGACTGGGCGTCCTCCTTGAAGAACAATCCTTCTTTCACAAGAACGAACACAGCTAACAAGAACGATCCCATCGTTTTAAACGGAACGCAAGAATGCATTCTTAAAAATATAGGAACTGAACGGAGAAGAACGGAACGGAACGGATAAATCAGGAATGTTCTTATTATCGAGAACGCATTTTAAATCAGGAATGTATGCTAAATCATCTGGAAAAAAATTAAAAAAGTTATTTGATTCGATCAACTGCCCCTCCCCACTTTAAACCCTCCCTCTCCTGTGAGCTAGGAAGGGGAGCTCTAAATTATAATTAAATGGATATATTGGTAGCATGCATATGACACATGCATGTGTCATATGGTTAAATTTGTTTAAAGTAAAAATAACTATTTAAAAAAAATTTTCGACACTCTTTTTGAATTTTCTAAAAAATCCTCCCTAATATCCTCACCATTAAAGTTGATCTAATTTTTTATGAGCCGGCCTTATAAAGTTGGACTAGGGACATGTTTCACAATCCCTTATCTCAACTCTAAGGACTAAATCATAAGAGGGGGGGGGGTGGAAAACACCCCTCCCCCCATTTATATTAGACAAAAAAAGTCCAATCGGAATAGGGAGTCATTTGATTCGCCATATGAACTGAAAGGTCTCAAGCTTTCGCACAAAAATCGATCGATGAGAAGTTTGTCAATTACTTCTTAAAAAGTTTTTTTGTAGTTTTAAATTAAAAATGTTCAAGAGTTATAAGGAAAAACAAGTGAGTGAGTGAGGTAAAATCATAAGCTAAGGTGTTGCAACTAGGGTTGTTAATCGGTTTTGAAAATAATTGTTTAACGATAGTTTTTTGTTTTGTATTTCGATCGGTTTCAAAAACGATCGTTTCGTTTTCGGAAAAAACGATCGCTTTTGAAAGCGATCCACTCGTTTTGAACTTGTGAGGGAGCTAAATAATATGTACCGATGCCGTTCAGGTCGGTTTCAGCTCTGACCTTGAAGGTCTTCGTTAACGATCGTTAACGAAGGGTCGTCATTAACGATCGATAACAAAGGGTCGTCGTTAACGATCGTTAAAAATGGTCGTCGTTAACGATCGTTTACGAAATTACTGCTGTTTAAAAACCATTCTTTTAAAACGATCGTTTTTTCGTTATTAGTTTTTTCGTCGTTTTTTCATAATGAAACGATCGCTTTTTTAAATGAAAACGATCCATCCCTAGTTGCAACACAATTCAAAGTCTTGATCTATCCGAACTGACTCTCTTATCATTATTTTTATTATTTGGTCCATTTGGTCATTAACACAAAGAATCGTTTCAATTTTTAATCAAGTTGTGAAAAATACAAAACGATTAAAATCATAATGTAAGGGGAAAGAAGATATTCGGTTCAATCCAGTAATTGTAAAGTGGAAATTTATGAACAATTAATGGAAACAAAAACTTGATATTCTCACTGAACTTCTTACACCTTATCTTTTATCTGTATATTTTTTATCTCTCGCGGTTAAAAGTTTATTTAGTCCTGAGTGTATGTTTACTGTGATATGGAATATGAAAATTATTTACTTCTATGCCTTGATTTTTATCAAAAATGCTGCAGCACTGGATATTGCAGCAGCATTTGAAAGGGGACTCTTTGAGAAACTACATATAGAAGAAGGTGCAACAGAAATACATTATTATAAAATGATAAACAAACAATTATTATGTTTTTGTTTTGAAAATGAAAATACTCCTGTTTGTGTGAAATGGATAAAACACTAATTGAACCCAATCAATAAGAATATTAACAACTAGTTGAAGTGCCTAGCGTTGCCCGTGGAATTTTAGAAACATTAAACAAAATTTTGTTCGAATGAAAAAAATAGTTTTAAAAAATTTTTTTTTGAAATCAAAATTTCAAATTTCTTTTAACCTTGGGTACCCTTAGGGTACCCAGGGAAATTCATCCCATTCGGTCCAGTCGTTTGGCTAGCAATAGCTAACATATATACATACGATTGTTTCGTAATGCTTTTTTAGCTAAGAGTAAAACATTGTGAACGTAAAATTAACAAAGTAATTGTTAAACCAAAATTGGGAAAATCTAAAGTAGGGAAATAATTCATTTATAAACCGACCAAGTTGTTTTATAATTGGACATTACTGGTATAACTTTGTGACCTTGTAGCTTCTTTAGTTTTGGTTTGACGCAACAGTATTATTTACATAAAAATTAGAAATTCAAAACATATTTGTTCTTGCAAACCGAGTAAACAAATTCAGGCAGAAATAAAACTAGAGGAATTACGAGGTTGCCAGTATTTCCTCTTACAATCAACACCTTCACTCCCATATCGGAGAGTAAGGGATTATAAATGCTCTACTAAATTCGTACCGGTCGGGCCCGGTCTTTCTACTGAACTGAGATTAGTACCGCTCCATATTTTGTAACTTATAAAAATGATTGTACACCACTAAAAAAGTGACTGTCGCCGTATCTGAGGCCGAATTTAAAGAATTTGAGCGGCGGCTCAATGTTTCAAGATTTAAGCCGGCGCTCAATTGAAACCGGTTTTTGGCGGATTTAAGAGGCGGCTCAAATTCATTAAATTCGGACACTGAATACATTAAATTGAAGAATGTATACATCAGTAGGAAATATACGTTGTTTATAAAAGCAGTCCACTTTGATAAACTTCTAGGATGAAAAATTACATCCATAAATCATGATGCAATCGATAAAGATAAACGTTACATATACTACAGATAATCATAATTGTTGTATATTGTATACAAATAATTCAACAATTTTGTTGTTAATTAGTTTCATGCTATGACGGAGATCTTCAGTATTAAACAATGTTTTTTACGTATTAGTTATTGATCATCCCACACCTGCGTATTCAATATGTATGATAACATAGTAAATTATAGAACTTTCGAATTTAGATAATCTGAGACACATAACTTTAAGATTTAGATAATCTTAGACCTTTAAATTTATTATTTATATAATCAGAGACCTATAATTTAATGATTTAGATAATCTGAGACCTATAACTTTATGATTTAGATAACCTGAAAACTATAACTTTATGATTTAGATAACCTAAAAACTATAACTTTATGATTTTTATAATCTGAAAACTATAACTTTAAGATTTAGATAACCTGAGACCGATAACTTTATAATTTAAATAATCTAAAACATATTACTTTATGATTTTGTTATTCTGAGGCCTATTACTTAATAATTTGGATAATCTGAGACCTATGTTGTTATGATTTAGATATTCTGAGGCCTATTACTTAATAATTAGGATAATCTAAGACCTATGTTTTTCTGATTTAGATAATCTGAGGCCTATTACCTTTGATCCATATCGGAAACCAAGCCAAGCCTATTTCTGGAACAAAGAAGGGGTAATTTTTATTTATTTAAATTGGCAATAATATCGGCGAGTTGAACGAGTTGAACAAAATGTAAAATAGTTTTATTTTTGCCAGCGCAATTTTTGCCTTTTACAATTAGGTAAAAGACGTAATTTTTGTTATTTACCGACAAAACATAATGTACAATATTTTTCGAAATGTGATGGGGGGGGGGGTAGCTGCGACTTTGTACGGACTAGATTTTTTTTTTGCGTAGAAAATAGAAGTACAACAAACACTACAAACAGAAATTGAATGTCATGTTACCAATCAAGAATACTGTGTAGTAGAAAGAAGATTATAATCTATTTTAATAAAAATTTGTTTTGTTTAGTTTAAGCATGAACAGAGCACAGTGGAACTTGAGTTCAATATTCATAATCTTCATGAAAACTTCTTCTTTCCAGGCAATCCATCAACCAACAATGAATATAGCCTTAGATAATTTTTTCACTGTTTCTTATCTTTAAAAATGTCACCATACTCTGTTTAACATTAATATGTTTTAATTTATTATTTTGATAGTTTAGGTTTGTCTTTGATAGTTCTGAAAACAACATTTAAAAAGAGGTGATTGTCGATTGGGATTCAAAAGATTTAAAATAGAATAACAATTTTTCTTTTTTTTGCAAACCATACATTAATACATTTTAGACAAGTTAATGATGAAGATGATATCGAAATATACCTCAGTAAAAACAACGAGGAAAAGAACTTAAAATTCCATTTCAAGATTCTATTATTCTCTGAAAAAAATACAAAAAATAGAAAAACAATCAATTGATTTTTTTAAATGGAACTGTACACGTAGTTTAAAGTGAGCCTCCATAGAACTGGGAATGTCCAATTTTGAACGGTACCCTTCAAACCTTTACATGATAAAGGTTTACGTAGATATTTTTATAGATTCATCCTTGCTCGTTCAAAGAGAATATATATTAGAGTGGAATTTACTAGAAAAAAGTGAAAAACCGCCATTTTGTTGTACTGTTTCCATACTGCAGGAGTACTTCACATATTTGTGCTATATAACCTTTTGGGCCCTGGAACACCATTTAATAGAAAATCTAAAATTAATATTAAAAGGAAACCAAATTATGAAATAGGGTGGTTTCATAATTGACCAATGATCATTTCACATAGACTCTATGCCTTTCACTTTACAAACAATGATTTTCCGCTATAACTATAAATCAATGATGTTTTTATTCACCTAATTCATTTTATAAAGTTTATTTAACAGCTTTAAAAAAATCGAAATTGAAATGGATTGTCAAGGGAACATACTGTATTAATGTACTCTACTGCACATAATTTGTGAACATTTACATGATTTGTACACTTTGAACTCCCTTTCAGGCTGAAAGGGAATGACAAAATTCATTCCGATGGATTGTCTAAATTCCACTCTAATATATTCTATTCTCTTTGGGTATGCAGGGTACCGTTGTGAATCGGGCTTTACAAATGGCAGGTTACATGTATTAACTCTCATTAAATGATGTTTAAGTCTGATAAACCAAAGGATGATGAGGAAGTTGAGGAAAAAAGGCCTGATGGAAAAATAACGAAATCACATGATTTCCCCAAAACAGGTTTCATGTCTTAGTAATAAATACAAAATTTAACAATTTAACGATGGAATTTTCAAATATGAATGTATAAATTTTTACAATTTTAGCACAATTTCCCAGTTGTTCTAGCCTTAGTGGCGAAATGCAGTGCCCAAAAATTTATCAATTTTTGATCAGACTCTAGTTTTTTTTTGCCCTAACATTATCAATTTTGACACTTTCACTGTGAAATTTTTTGACTTTAATAAATAGAAATAAAGGATTTTTTGTAAACCTTTTTTATGCATTGGATAGGGTAGAGGGCGTTAAAAAGTCCAGTCTGTGTAAAAAATCTGAAATAGCCCATATTTTGTATGACCAAAGCTACAGATTTAAAAACTATATTTTTAAAAAGCCCTTGAAAAAAATATGTAGAAAGATAAATAAAGACAAAATATTTTTACATTTTTTAACCTTTTTTGGCATTTTTTTCAACCCTCCCTAGCACCTACACTTCTAAAGTTATCGATCTATTTTTTTTCTTAATGTGCTGGCCTTGAAAAATTGGGCTATGAGCACGCAATATAACCTTATACTTATTCTCTAAGGCCTTTTTCTAGGTTTCAGAGTTAATATTGAGAGTCAAATTTCAGATTGAAACAAACTCTTTTTAAATTCAAGATTACAAATATTTGTTCAGAAACAAAACTCAAAAGAAAGAATAAATTTAAGATATTATTTTATTAATTTTCATTTGTAATGTTCATGTTACTGTCTGTGGACTGTTCTTGGCAAATTTTTGGCTTGCATCTGTTCTTGTTGCTGTCTGTAACATCTTCTTGGCAAATGTTCAACTTTCATCCGTTCTAGTTTCTGTCTGTGTCATGTTCTTGGCAAATTTTGAACTGTATCTTTCATCTTCTTGGCAAATTTTGAGCCTTTATCTGTTTTTTTGTTTTGTTACGGTCTGTATTGTCTTCTTGGCAAATATTGTGCTTTTATCCGTTCTTGTTATGGTCTCTTTTAATTTCTTGGCAAATTTTAAGCTTTTATGTGTTCTTGTTACGGTCTGTATTGTCTTCTTGCCAAATTTTGAACTTTTATCTATTTTTTTACAGTTTGCATCCTCATCTTGGCAAATTTTGTGCTTTTATCTGTTCTTTTTACGGTCTATATCATGTTCGTGGCACATTTTGAACTTTTATCTATTCTTGTTAAGGTCTGTATATTCTTCTTGGCAAATTTAGGGCTTTTATCTGTTCTTTTACGCTTTGCATCCTAATCTTGGTAAATTTTGGGCTTTTATCTTGTTACGGTCTTTTTCATCTTCTTGGAAAATTTTGATATTGTATCTGTTTTTTTTACGATTTGCATCCTCATCTTGGTAAGTTTGAACTTTCATCTGTTCTTTTCACGATTTTCATCCTCATCTTGGCAAGTTTGAACTTTCATCTGTTCTTTTTAAGATTTGCATCCTCATCTTGGCAAGTTTGAACTTTCATCTGTTCTTTTCACGATTTGCATCGTCATCTTGGCAAGTTTGAACTTTCATCTGTTCTTTTCACGATTTGCATCCTCATCTTGGCAAGTTTGAACTTTCATCTGTTCTTTTTACGATTTGCATCCTCATCTTGGCAAGTTTGAACTTTCATCTGTTCTTTTCACGATTTGCATCCTCATCTTGGCAAGTTTGAACTTTCATCTGTTCTTTTTACGATTCGCATCCTCATCTTGGCAAGTTTGAACTTTTATCTGTTCTTGTAATTGTCTGATTCATTTTCTTAACACATTTTGGGCTTTTAGTTGTTCTTGTTGAAGTCAGTATCATGTTCAAGGCAAAATAGGTTGAGTCTGCTTCAGGGAGAACCAAACCCTGCAGTAGGCAGGATGCAACTGATACTTGTTTAATTGTTTAATCCAAATATATATTTAAGGATATTCAAATGAACATATATTTCAAACATGGCCCAAAGGCTATGAAGATTCAAACTATACAATTAAGGTAAAAAATATTTTTTGATTTTTCTTAAAAGGGATCTATATATGAAATGTTACTTATTGAATCTGTATTAAAATATTAGTAGACAAAGGGATTTTTATTAATATTGGTAATTCTAACCTGTATTTCCATTTGCCAAAACCAAACTTTCTCATATGTATTTTTGATTGAGGCAGTGTATCTTCCTTGTTGAATGATTTATTTCTAAAATAGTAAGTTAAGCATATGTTTACATACAGTACGTGATTTATAAAGTATGCGGCTCAACATTCTTATAAAAGGAAGGAAAAGTCCATTTTCAAGGTAGTGGGGTTATTTAACAGTATATTGTGAACTGTATGTATGTTAACAAACACTAACTTAGAACTGAACTTAGATTTCCTTTAATAAGAATGTGAGCAGTATTCATCTTGTAAGGAAGTTAAAATGCCTTGTCAAACTCAGAAACACTTATAAGGAAGTTTAGTTTTGGCCTGTGTGAATACAGTGCATGGGAAACTATAGTTTATCTATTTCCAGTATACTTAAACAAAATAGTTTAGTCTCTTTCTTTTGCAGATAAAGATAAATAACTTGAAATCCTTGGAGAATATATATTTTGTGGTGACTGCATACAGGTTTCTTAAACACAAATGTTTTCATTCTGCATTGCATGTGTTCTGATAAAAGTGTGTTTAGACTTTTTAGCCTATTGTGTTCAAAAGTGCTCCAAGTAGGTACAAACCCTATGGGGTCGTCGGTAAAACATTTTTCTCTAAAATGCCGTTTTAGTCTTAAAAAGTAGGCCTAATATTGAAAAATGTGCAGCTCGGTCTTTTTTCCAAAGATTTAAAAATAAATTTAAATTTAGTGTTTTGTACAACATATTCGATGATAGAATCGAGGATTTCTCAAAATAAATGACTTAAAAAATCTTATGAAAAGGGGCCGAACATATTTGGAGGTTAATATTTAATTAGAGCAGTATATGGGCTTTGTACCTGCCAGTTACGCTTCTTCTTACAACAAAACGACGTTGATTAATCAATCAATTTATATCTTCCGAAATGGTATCAAGCTCAATTTCGAATATAAGTCCTAACTTTGAAGGTTATAAAAGAGAAAATTAGAGCATATGTTTCATGGACTACCTGATGCTACAAAGCCTAAACACACTTTTTTTCATCGACACCTTGTATATTGTTGGACGAATGAATAATTAAACGATTAAAGCGGCTGTAAACGTAATTCTAAATGACTCTCTATTGATAGAGTGGTAAATCCGATTAACGATGGTACCCTTAAAAGCTTTGTTTGATTAAACATGAATTAGATATCCATGTTGTTTCTTTTTGAAAACTGTTAACCGTTAAAAGTGACTACTACACATTTCTAACTTCAGAAATTATTTTCCTTATTATTTATCAGATGAAGTTTTAAAGGAACCGTTGTGAATTGTACATGCCCCTATTTTTCTTCAAATGGAACCATATTCAAGATTAAGTCTGCAGTCTTTTTAAGGGTCAGACAATTTTAATATTTTTGGGGGTATTTCGTAGATATATGACATCAAAACTTAGCAGACTATGACGACCTCTCAGATGAAAATATCATTCTAAAAATGATTATAGAATTAATAGGTTTTGATATAAAATCAAACTATAAGATATGCATGTTTTATCCCTTGATTAGACAAACTAATAGAGTCTTTGCTACAAACTCAAATTTTCTAATCCCTTTATCTTAGAAACTATATTGTAAACCTTTGATATTTTTATTTTGATTATTTGATCTAAAAAACCTCATGGTATAAATCTTGTTTTATTTCAAATTTCGATAATTTGATTTCACGGAATTCATAGTTTGAAATATCTAAGGTCTACGACATTAGGTTGAAAGATTTAGGAAATAGAAGATATGAGTTTAATACAAGACCAGGGAACTTTTTCAAATTGAAAAAAAATCACTATAAATATATTTTGAAAATTACATTGTTTTAGAATAAGTAAAAACTTGGACAATACTAGATCATGTGAAGACAACAGTAGGTAAAAATGTTGTAAATAACAATAGTAAAATTCTTTAGTGTAATTTTATTTGTTTAAATATACATATACAATCAGGAATATATGTAAAAATATGGAATTTATCCGTGCGTTGAAATTTTACTATTCATCCTTGATAAGTCAAGATTTGAATGCGTTCTTAAATAGGAAGTGTTCGCGAAAAATTAAAGCGGTATTGGCTTACGGCGAAAAATACTAGCTTTTAATCTCTACTTCTATCTGTTGCGTCTATCAGGAGAACATTGTTGAAAACGACTTATACTGAAGAACGTAGCGTCCATTAAAATTCAGAAAGTTTTGTCGTAAAATAATCAATTTAATTTCAAACAAATCAGTCAGATATGACAACCAATAGTCATCGATTATTTTTCGACGCATTCTTATATAGTTAATACTTCATAATATTTGTTATTTGTTTAATAATTTCAGCTAGGTGTCTCTGCCACGTGTAATAATTTAAAGAATCGAGAGCAGATACAACTATTTCGGCGTTTTAAGTACATTGCACACAAAAAGAACAAAAATATTATGAAATATTAAACGGCCTTAAAGCCTAGTTTTGTATAAAGGAAGAATTTTAACAGGAACACACTTTGTAATTCCATATTATGGCTCAAATACATTTGCCATGATATTTTTGTCATAAATACATTTGCCATAATACGTTTGCCATTATTTACACTTGCAATAAGTTACACTTGCCATAATGGTTAAACTTGCCATAATTACAATTAATTATATTTATAATGAACATCCATACATTTTTTTATTGAACAACTACAATTGTAACTTTTGTGACTACAATTAACAAATCTTAATGAGGGCAGCTCATGAGCAGTAAGTTTAAGTTACTGCTCTATTGGAAAAGTATTGTATTGTCTTTGATTCTTCACCAAGCTCTTTCTACCAGTATTATAGTGTTCATTCTCTCCCGGCAGCATTGTTAGAAAACTAAAGTTGGGCATTTTCATGAGGAAAAAATAGAAAAAAAAAGTTAGATTTATATTTTTGTAAAACTTAGAAAATGATGGCAAAAGTAATTATGGCAAGTGTAACTTATGGCAAAAGTATATATAGCAAGTGTAATTAGGGCAAATGTATTTAGGGCAAAAGTATTATGGAAAATGTAACTGAGCCCATCTTTTTAATACGTTTTACCCATCAAAAATCTAATTTGTTTTTCAGGGAAACTGAGTGGTTTGACTGTAACAGAAACAATGTTGAGAATAATCAACTGTTGTGCATCAGCGATGAACTAACTTGTAACAGTCTGCCCCACTGTGCCAGCACCCAGCTACCCAACCCAGATGAAAACTGTGGATATCAGGTTAACCAGGATGAAGCCGGTTTAAAGTCGTCTTTAATAATCTTTAAATTAAACAGATTTTGTAATATGTAATGGTTATGGCGGCTATTACACTGGGTTAACCACAAGACTAAAATGACGGCTTAAAACTCTCAGAAAAAGCCTGAAAAAAATCCGTACAGTCGTCTCTGAAGTCTTTTTTTTTGTGAATCTCTTAAATGTCTAAGTTACTTTAAATTAAATGTCTCTTAAATGTGTAAGTAACTTAAATGTCTCTTAAATGTCTAAGTAACTTAAAAGTCTCTTAAATTTCCAAGTAACTTAAATGTCTTTTAAATGTATAAGTAACTTAAATGTCTAAGTAACTTAAAACTCTCTTAAATGTCTAAGTAACTTAAATGTCTTTTAAATGTCTAAGTAACTTAAATGTCTAAGTAACTTAAAAGTCTCTTAAATGTCTAAGTAACTTAAATGTCTCTTAAATGTCTAAGTAACTTAAATGTCTTTTAAATGTCTAAGTAACTTAAATGTCTCTTAATGTATAAGTAACTTAAAAGTTTCTTAAATGCCTAAGTAACTTAAAAGTCTCTTAAATGTCTAAGTAACTTAAATGTCTCTAAAATGTCTAACTAACTTAAATGTCTATTAAATGTCTAAGTAACCTAAAAGTCTTTTAAATGTCAAAGTAACTTAAATGTCTCTTAAATGTCTAAATAACTTAATTGTCTCTTAAATGTCAAAGTAACTTAAATGTCTCTTAAATGTCTAAATAACTTAATTGTCTCTTAAATGTCAAAGTAACTTAAATGTCTCTTAAATGTCCAATAAAAACATCTTTCGTTCTGTTATTATAATTATGACTTTGGTAAGTAAAATTAAATGCAGTGAATCCCAAATATATGAATACATAGCAAGAGTTTATTATTATGTCGTATTACATATTTAAGATCAAATGCCACGGAAAAATGAGTTAAATATTAATTTATCAATTGCATTTATATTTCAGGGCAATAAATTTACCTTGAATTAAAAATAATTAGAATTTTCTTTAGAATTATCAAAAAGCTTATGACGGTCTCTATATGTATACATATACCTGGGATTCACTGTAATATAACTGAAAAGTCTAAATTCTAAATTGAAATTTGTTGCATTTAGTTTAGTTTAGTTTCCATGCTAAACATTATCTACATCGCAAACGCTATTTAAATCATGCATAAAGCTAGTATAGACAATATTCATGACAAGAAGACCAACTTTAAAAGTGAATTTAAGAATTTTTGTAAAATTTAGTTTTTGATAAAAGAAATATGGTACTAGTAGAGTGGGGTCAGAAAACTTTGAGCAGAAAAGCAAGACGACTTTCAGTCTCAATTTATGACTTTAATTAGTTCAATGAACATGAGATATGGTAATCAATCAGTGTTAGCAGAACCATTTTAATCAATGAGTGATTATTTAAAAGCTACATCCTTCGTAACAACTTAAAAAGCCTTTATTATTACTTTAATGCCTATTCCACATTTTTCAGGCTCTTACCGTATGTTTGCCGCGTTTTGTATTTTTCTCTTTATAGTTCAGTTTTGAGAATGCGCTAGAGTTGCTACTGTACACCCTGACAGTCGTCTTTTTCCTTATATTAGTGGCTGGAATTGTCAAGTGTATGATTGTTTATTTCTGTAGAAGCGGGTCTGTACAGTCGACTCAGGTATTTTTTAGTTAAGGCTGTTAAGTAAGGTTGGGTACTCTCGAGTCTCGATCAATGTACGGGAAATGTCGTCTTCAAAGCAATGAACAGAAATAATTGTAAATGACGTCACAATTAATGGGTCAATATGCTTAGGGAGACAGTTTGCAGGTACAAAATTAATCAATGCCGTTATTTACGGATTTTTCCTGTCCATTGCTGTAGAAACAACATTTTTTCGAACATTGGCGCACATCAAGCGTAAGCAATCTTACTATGCAAACTTGCTTTTAGTTGTTTGTGGAATGTAGTTTTGGTCATTAGCAATGCATTTACTGCGGTGATCCTTGAACCGTTATATGATCAATAACATGTAAGATATAGTCGTTTTTTCTAGCTTCAAATTTGTATAACTCTCCAATGTTTTTGCAACATATGTCCACACTTCGTTTTTGTAAAGAAAGCACAGTTTACTTTAATCAATTTCCATTTTGATCCAATGTTGATAATGTTGAATATGTTGATTATGTTGATTATGTTGATTATGTTGAATATGTTGAATACGTTGATTATGATGATCATGTTGATTATGTTGATTATGTTGATTATGTTGATTATGTTGATTATGTTGATTATGTTGATTATGTTGATTATATTGATTATGATGATAATGTTGATTATGTTGATTATTTTTTCTTTTTTCAACTAAATCATTTGTTTAGATGTTCCGTGAATATTTAAGAAACGGAAGTATATCCCGGCCTCTGAACAGTCCTCCAACCTATGATGATGCTATGAGGGAGGTAAATGATGCCTTCAGCTATAATGAATCAAGTGAAGTAGAAGATGATCCACCTGAATACACTCCTCAACCACAGGTAGAGTTAAGACTAATTATTACAAGATATACACAGAGGTCCATATAATTCCCAAAACAGCTGATTTTCTCGATCCCAAAATTATTTTTTGCCTCCAACTTAACAAAAAATGCCCCCAATTTAAAAAAAATGCTACCAAATAAAAAACATTTTCAAATTTCACTGACAAATTTGCGCCCATTTGCCCCCAATTTTTTTAAAAAATGCCCCCAATTAAAAAAACATTTTCAAATTCCATTAACACATTTGCCCCCATTTGCCCCCAATTGCCCAAAATTAAAAAAAAAACATTTTCAAATTCCACTAATACATTTGCCCCCAATAATTTTAAAATTGCCCTCAAAATTTTTCAACTTTCCCACAATTTTACTTAAAGTTGTCCCCAGTCCCCATTAGCAAATACCTGGCCCCAAAACTAAATGCCACAAACATAAAAAATGCCCCTTTTCCACTCGCATTTGCCCCTAAAAACTTTAATGTAAACCAAATTTTGCCCCCAATTTTTTCAAAAATTATCATTTTAAAATTTGCCCAATTTCTTTCAAAATAAATTGGAATTATATGGACCCCAGGATATACAGGATATATGGATATACAGGATATACAGGATATACAGGATATACAGGATATACAGGATATACAGAATATACAGGATATACAGGATATACAGGATATACAGGATAAACCCACATAGAATGAGACTTTAAGTTTGACCTAAAAATCTTTCAATGTGATTTATCCAAGATTGAATTTGGGATTTTTCCTAAAAAATATTTGTTAACAAATAAACAGACTAATTTTTAGAAGAAAGAAAAAATTAGATCTTTCAAAATTTTTTTTTTTAAATATTGACATTTTTCGTTACTATTTATAGTCTACTATATTGTGAGAACATTATTGAATTAGAACGGCGAGACAGTGTGTAACACTTTTGTATTTACAACCAATGATGATTCTGAAGATCCTCCTCCGGTCAACACAAGGCAGCAGGTACATTGAGAGCGGAGGGGAGGGGGGGGGCGAATGTATTATTTAAGGGCTAGCCGCGAGAGATAGGGTGGGGGATTAGATGCTTAAGTTGGTGTTTTAAGGATTTAGAGTCAAATGAACCGAATTTTTCAATTGTTGCAGTTTTGCCTTTCCCTTCAATGAACACACATTTTTTTTCTTTTTCCTCTAGCTAGCTCTCTTGATTAGAAATAAAAATTATACTTCCAAAAGCTTCAAAAATTAACAATTTAAATCAATTTGTTCTTAATTTTCGTGAAGCGCAAAAAAATCTCTGTTTTTCTATTGGCTACACGAGAATATTTTATAGATTCAGAGTCCGAATTTAATGAATTTGAGCCGCGTCTCCAATCCCTAAAAAACGGTTTCAATTGTGCGCCGCCGGCATAAATCTTGAAACATTGAAAACAAATTTAAGTGGAACTGCTGCGTCTCGAATTTAAGCCGCGGCTCCAATTCTTTAAATTCGGCTCAGGTTGTTGTCACTTTATAAATCATTGCTTACAGTTACAGTTACAAATGTTTTACTGTACGCGTAATTTTAAGAAAACCAATTAGACATGCCCGATTCAGAATGGTACAGTTTAAACCTCTTTATTAGTGACAATGAGAATGATATTCTCGTCTTTTAATCAAAAAGCGCGTTGAATCCTAAACATTTCTTTTTGGTCTTTACAAGGCAATCAGACAATGTTCTACCTGGTACCGTTGTGAATGGGCCATATATTTTTATATATGTATATTTTATAATATTTTTATTTTTAATCATCTGAGAGTTACTTTTGAAAACATTTATTCCTGTTTCCAGGATTTTTGAAAATGAAGACGACATTTTTATATTTTCCAAGAATGTACGAATGCGTCGATGACTATTTGTTGTCATATCTGAATGATTTTTTTTGGAATTAAATTGATTATTTTACGATCCAAGTTGAATGTGGCAACTTTCTGAATTTTCATGGAGGCTTCGTTCTTCAGCATTAGTCGTTTTTAACAATTTTCTCCTTAAAGGGACAGTAAAGGAAAAGGTATAGGCTGAAAGCTAATCACTTTAGCTCTTGATCGCGACCCATGAAAGTCATATCTGATGTTCCTGTCTCGAGAAATTGATATAAAAATGTGTCAAATATATAAGAAAATTAATATATATACAATTTTGTATAAAAGTAGTAGGTTTAAACAGATCATATTCAGCAAATAAGCAACCAATCTGAAGAAGATGATATCCCAGAGAAAGCTAATTGTAAATTAGGTTTACTTTTATATTTGTTATTTCTATTTTCAATAGATTTCATTCATAATATTATTTTTACGTCCGTATTACTTGACCAGAAATTCCACCAATGGCAGTGCAGTAAAGTGGTCACGTGATACAGGCGGAGACACGTAACCAGTATACTGCTCTGCAATTGGTGATAGTTCTGGTCACGTGATTTAAGTTTCAGATTTTCAAAATTTTACATATATGAATTTTCGTATAATTTTTACACAGTTTTTTATCAGTTTCTCGAGACAAAAACATCAGATATAACTTTCATGGGTCGCGATCAAGAGCTAAAGTGATTAGCTTTCAGCCTATACCCCCTTTCATTTTCCCTTTACTGTCCCTTTAAAGATGCAACAGATAGAAGTAATATTAGTAGCGATCAAAAGCACTTATTGTTCGCCGTAAGTCAATACCCTCTTTTATATTTCACGAACACTCCCTTTAATTTTCTCCTTATTCAGTAATCTATAAATATAATTTCTAGAACGCATGTGGTTGCTCTGCTGGATTAGTATCTTCCAAACCATCAACATCCATCTCTTCTCCTGCTTCCTTTGGATCAGAATCATTTACTCCTAACCTAGAGTCTAGAGATGCTTTATCCTACTATACTCGGCATCATGAACTAGTATTAGACCCCGCTACTATGCCGGTCAATCCTCCACCCTACTCAGAGATATAAAACCAGCTTGATTGTGTGATAAACCTGCGCGGAGCATGTATTGGCACTGCAGCACGTTGTACAGACAGGGTTTGTACACCCAGTGTTATTGTATCTTCCACGTTTTTAGCACAAATGTAAAATGTTAACTATATGTACAGTGTACATAAAAAACGGTCAGTACACAGAGAATGCATCATCCCCTTTTAGAGAACTTATATTGTTGTTATAAACCTCAATAATGGTTTTTAAAACAATAATATTTTTGTTTTAGTTAAAATTTTTGCATGATTTCAAGCATTTTTGAAGAATGCTGAAACTAGGATAATATCCTTAACTGTGCGTCCTTAACCTCGGTTTATCAACGCGATTGCATCCATCTATTTTCATTAAACATAATATATACATTTTATTTGGTTTACAGGTGTAAATAAGTGCATTTTGTCAGACAAAAAACTTAAATTTATTGAGATATCAGATTTAATTTTGTTCCCTGGATTCTTATTTAGTCTGGGAAAGAAAAATTAGAAACATATTAGGAAAGATACAGTTAAAAATGCCTTTTTTATTCAATCTGTTTTATTATGTAAAAAATGTACTATGCTTTGTACTTATACTTATTAATAAAATACATATATCTATCTTCTACTATATAGTTACTTATTTTTGTTTGTCTGTGTGTGTGTTTGTTTGTTCGTTTGAATCCGACAATAAACGTCAAAACGACTCAACCGATCAGGCCCAATTTTCTTCATGGATACTAATGGGCATTGATTATGTTTGGAAATGCACCAATTCTACAAGAACAAATTTGTTTCTTATTAAAACAATAATATTCTTCAGAAAACATATACACTGAGCAGTAAAATTAAAATACTGCACGATAAAAAATGTGTATAAAAAATATAACATTATAAATATTCATCGTAAATACATCGTAATATTTCATATTCATTCATTGACTTGGAAAACTCCAGACTTCTCATAAATCGTCTTCCGTTCATGTTCATGTTATTGTTGTTGTTATTGTTGTTGTTGTTATTATTGTTGTTGTTATTGTTATTGTTATTGTTGTTGTTGTTTGTGTTTACATTTGTAACGCTTGTAAACCCTCCTCCAAGAAGTGCCATCAGAATAGCCTAAATATTTAGAACTATTAAAGACAAACAATTGAAGACAAACAAGAAGGTTTCTTCAATCCAATTGGAAAATGGAGTGTCAATATCTATTCTCTATTAATTCTCTATCTTCCGAAATGATCTTTTCTGTTTATTTTCGTTTTGATAGCAGGCAATTTCTCTCAGATAATTAAAAAAAAAGATCATGTTTTTAAAAAAATTTATGTTTGAATTGACTACTTTTTGAATCAAAATATTTTGATTGCATTAGTTTAAAGTCGGTTTCAAATAGGGCTGAAAACAGTTGATGAAACTAAGGTTTTTGAAAATAAACAGAAGATTCCATTAAGAAACGGCAAAAAACCGTTAATTTTTAAATCATTAATGAAACAGATTAGCCGTTTAAAAAAATTAACTGTTGAATTTTTTTTTTTTCGGCTAAAACTTGTAAAAAAAACTGTCTTTATTTTTATGTGTTTTGATGTTTTTAAATATCGTCTACTGTGTTCACAACCTTAATGCGCTGTTAACAATTTCATAAACCGTTACCGATTCTTTTTGTTGCTTTGCATCGTTAAAGCCATTTAGACTGTAATAGACCGTTTTTAAAAATTTTCCGTTAACACCGTTAATGAAATGGATCGTTAACTAACAGTATAGTAACTTAAAAAACGAAAGAAAAATACTATTGACGAAACGATGTTTCAATTTAACCACCCTCTAAAACTAACCTGGCTACCTGAGATTTATTTTGAAAACGGTTGGAACTTACCGTTAACCCTATCCCTGCTGGGGTACTTGAAAACCAGGATATGCTGGGGGGGGGGTCAATTTGACCCCCCCTCTAAATCCCATGTTTTATGCACAAATATGACAAATGATACATCATTAGAAAGCTCTTGTGCTCTACTCTTAGAATCTACAAAAAAATTTGCAAATTTGCAAAAATTGAATTTTTTATAGCAAAATCCAGTTATATAGTAAAAACGTTTGCAAAAAAAAAAATTTGTCCAAAAAATAAAAATTATACACTTTTGAAAAGCCCTTGACCATGCAATTTCAAATATATGCCATTTTAAATAACCTGATTTTTATTCAAGAAAAACTAAAAATTTGCAAATTTCCTTTGACAGGTCGTTTGCAAAAAATTTGCAATTTTTTTTTTCGCAAAAATTGTGCAATCCGTTTCCTTATGTCATAGGCTTTCCAAAAAGCTAAATTTTATCAAAATCTGACAAGTGAAAGTGGGTCAAAACAAAGATTTAGTTTATTACAGGCAAAAGCAGTCATTCAGGCAGTGTGCCTGAGGACTCAGGCAGTTAGTATTAAAGCCCGGTTTTAGGCCCAAAGGGAGGGCTTTGGGTATGTAAGAAAAGTCAGAAAATTCAACAGCCTCAGACCAATACTTTTTGAGTTATGTAAAAAAAAACTACAGGGGGGGTCAAATTGACCCGCCCCCCCCCCAGCAGGAATAGGGTTAACCAAAAGGCAATTAAAAAAAATGAAACGTGCCCAGCCCTATATGTAAATATATGAAAATATATATATTTATGAATAACCTGAAAGATTGAAACTGCTTGGCCGTTGATCATAATATTTAACATCATATTCTGAGCCAGTGTGTTCAATAGACTTGCCAGGTATACCTTGATAGAAATAGCTAACATCATGTTAAAGGTTACCAAGTTCACATAGTTATACATAGCTAACTTCTTTATTTAATATCTAGCAAGTTCACCTGGATAGAAATAGCTAATTTTGTATCAAAGGTAGCAATTACTTACAAATGTAACCAGGATCATAATATTCTTTTTTCACAAATACCAAGAACATTGTTATTTAATACTCTTATTGTTTACAAATGTAACCCGGCATAGTATTGCTTAACAATGTTAGCAGGAATATTGTTCTTTACAAATGCTCCCAGGATAATCGTTTGTTTACAAATGCTCCCAAGATAATTGATTGTTTACAAATGCTCCCAGGAATATTGATTGTTTACAAATATTACCAGGAATATTGACTGTTTACAAATATTAGGATAATCGTTTGTTTACAAATGCTCCCAAGATAATTGATTGTTTACAAATGCTCCCAGGAATATTGATTGTTTACAAATATTACCAGGAATATTGACTGTTTACAAATATTATAAGGAATATTGATTGTTTACAAATATTACCAGAAATATTGACTGTTTACAAATATTACCAGGAATATTGATTGTTTACAAATATTACCAGGAATATTGATTGTTTACAAATATTACCAGGAATATTGATTGTTTACAAATATTACCAGGAATATTGATTGTTTACAAATATTACCAGGAATATTGATTGTTTACAAATATTACCAGGAATAATAAAAACGAAAATATCCCCAATCCTCCGGCTGAGGAGCAACTGTTGTATCCAGAATCTCTAAAAAAATACATTTTTTATTCCAATTATTTTTCTTTTTAAACCAATCAATTTAGAAGAGATTCGTCAATGATGGACATCATGTACCCAACATTTAGAACAAGGAAAGGGGAACAATTTACTCCTCCAAGGTTTTAAAAAAATGCGTTCCTTTGAATTGAAATAATTTAATAATTGATTGAAGACTAAAATTGTCTTTCACCTTAGAAAACGTTAGCGGCGCCTATACATTTATAAATATTTTAGATGAAGCAATATTCACAATTTTTAAAGATTTCAATTGGATAAATAATAGCATGAAATTGTCTCATTCTTAATGAAATCACTAGTATCTCCGGTAACTATGAAAGCACATTTTGGAAGTGTAAAAAATTTAGTTATGTTGCGATTATTGTTTCAAATATTTATTTCTTCTCAAATTAGGTTGCGGAATGAATGCTGCATTTTAAAGACGACTTATAAACCGTCAATCAATAAATAAACTATTCTGGTTTATTAATATTAGCACTGTACATATACCTTTTGTATCTACTTGATAATATTAGGTGTTCATTTTCAACCATTCTCTGATATTCTAGAATCAAATTTAGTATTTAATACAGGGAACTAAATGGCAACATTCGGATCAAATTTGAATTGCCCGGCATTGCCAAGGAATAAAAAAAATCGAATAGAATTTTTTTTTCATCTTTTTCATATTTTTTGAAAATTTGTAATTTTTTTTGGTACTCCAATGGTCCAAAAAGAAAATCCGCGAACCTTTTTTCTCTCAAAAAAAAGCAAAAATGTGTATATAAATTGTTTCTATCGAAACCTAAAATTTTTAAGATTGAAAAAATGAATCAAAGGAAATTCGCAAAATTGTAATAAGAAAATTACAAATTTTCAAAAATATTGAAAAAAAAAACACCATTCAGGAGAGTTGCACAAAAAAGGTACAATTTTTTACCAGGAGTCGTAAATCACACTTTTTTTTGACTCACACTGTATTTTTTTAATATATAACCGTATGAAATTGCTTATCTGACACATTAGCGTCAAACAAAAATCAGAACTACAGTGATAACCAGAAAACAATCGAATAGGAAGACGACATCACAGCAATACTTAAGTGTATTTGATGGTGTTACAAAGCAAATAGTTTTACCAGACACTCATAAAATTACTTTTTTTTGTGAAATGGGTCTGTTTACACTGCACAATTGCTGTATTTCATGGTTATTGAACTTTTTAAAGTTAAAATTTGTTTCTCAAAGTCGTCTTACTATTCCAGAGTTTTCTGGTTATCACTGTATAGAAGCAACTGAGTTACACAGTCTCAACAGTAATATCAATTGAATTGAACTTCTCCTCCTGGTTAGTTTGCAGTGTAACATATCTATAAATACACTGGATTGTTAGAAAATACATATTGAATATTCAAAACATTTTTCTTCTTCTCAATAGCTGCTCTTTCGTTAGAGAAGTTATGATAAAAACCATAAAATATTTCAATTTTATGTTCATTTTCAGCATTTTGACGTGATTGAAATTTGGAAAGATCTAGTTGGGTTTAATAAGATTAAATTTGGAAAAATCTCTCAGTAACTTGATAGTTTTGAAGTTTCAAAAAGGTACATCTTATTTTGTAAAACTCAAAAGTAGGTTGTTTATTTCATTTGTTGCTTTGATTATGGTATATCTATCTATATATAAATTTGGCTTGTCTGTCTGTTTGTTTGTCTGTTTGTATCCAATAAACGTCAAAACGGCTGAACCGATCGGGCCCAATTTTTTGTGGGACATCTATGGACCCCAGGGAAGGTTTATGAATGATCAAAATTTCAAATATTTGTCTCCATCAAAATTCGATCTTCATTAAATTTTTGAACATTTTGAAAATCCACGAAATTTTTTGTGAAAATCCGCGAATTATTTTTGTTTTGTTTTACGATGAACACGAAGAGAACATGTTCACAATTAATTTAGAAGATGGGCGCGAAGTGCCCTTCAAGGCTAGTGGTATTATAATTAGGTTGTGCCATTCACCCCGAGGAGAAGCATTTGGTTAATTACATAGTAAACAAAACAGCCCATTAGCTGTTTATTGGTATTAGTCTCACTTTACAAAAAAAGTCGATGTTTTGTTCAGAATTCGAGTGCAAAGCGACGGTCCCTTTGTCTGAAACACTATACTAGACGTTTTTCAGCAACAACAGTCCAAACAAATTTAGATTTATCATATTTCAATGCCATTATGTGTTAGCTATCAAATACTAAAATTTGAGTTTTTCTCCGGCCACAGTTGTCTTTGAAAAGTAAGACCAATACCAATCAATTGCTAATAAGTTATATAGTTTACCCCGAAATTACCCAAATAAGTGAACGGTCCCTTTAAGACTTATGAATTTGTTTATTCTATACTTTTTCATTCAAAACGTATATGCCGACAAAAAGTATATTAAAAAAAGCCAGAAAATTATAAAAAATGGGACAAATTGTGATCGAAAGTCACAGCTTTCTGAAATATTGACAGAACCATGAAATCCACGTAGATTGAATGTCGTATAAATCGGATACAAGTTAATAGTTCTAAATTTTCAAGTTTATTGTGACACCATACATTACAGCGTTGAAATATTAGTAGAAGACTCTTATCTCACTGAAAACTTTGTGAACATTTTCAAATCATATTAATTATTAATTATACTTACTTAATGGTGTATATTCATTATGCAGCAGGTTGGATTCAAACTCAAATATCTAGAAACAGAATACTTAATTTACCTGTACCTGTACCTGTACCTTGTACCTGTACCTGTACCTGTACCTGTACCTGTACCTGTACCTGTACCTGTACCTGTACCTGTACCTGTACCTGTACCTGTACCTGTACCTGTACCTGTACTTGTACCTGTACCTGTACCTGTACCTGTACCTGTACCTGTACCTGTACCTGTACCTGTACCTGTACCTGTACCTGTACTTGTACTTGTACCTGTACCTGTACCTGTACCTGAATATTAGTTGATATATTTGACATTGTCTGAAAGAAAATATTGCAGAATTAGAATACAGTGTAAGGACATTATATATAGTTTTATACAATTACTAGACAAATTAGGTTCTGAAACAGGTTCTCGCCCTTCTAACCGACCATGTCGGGTTAATCCGTAATGGTGGATGGTTTCTGCCTTATAGAAACCACCCATTTTGACAAATGGGCGGTTTCTGTCTTATAAAACCGCTTATTTCCTAAGGTGAATTGTTTCTGTTTTTATATAAAACCGCCCAATTCCCAAGGTGAGTGGTTTCAGCCTTATATAGAATAGAAACCACTGAACCATCCTTCCTTACTTTATTAATTCTGCATGGGAAGAAATCATTCTGTTGAGTTAAATCCGCCCATTACCCCTAAATGGTCCGTTTCAATAGCGAGAAAGTGTTAGAGTTCCCCAACTGCGAGATGGCGATAATATAATTAAAGTGATGAAAAGAATAGAGATATACGTTTAAATGTATCCCCATAAACCTGTATCACTTTATCCCTGTATCCTTTTATCCCTGTGTCCCTTTATCCCTGTATCCCTTTATCCCTGTATCTCTTTATCCCTGTATCCCTTTATCCCTGTATCCCTTTATCCCTGTTTCCCTTTATCCCTGTATCCCTTTATCCCTTTATCCCTGTATCCCTTTATCCCTGTATCCTTTTATCCCTGTATACCTTAATCCCTGTATCCCTGTATCCCTGTATCCCTGTATCACTTTATTCCTTTATCCCTGTATCCTACAGTATCTCTGTATTACTGAATCCACGTATCCCTGAATCCATGTATGCCTTATTCCATGTATCCCTTTATCGCCAAATCACTGAACTGCTGTATCCCAATATCCCTGAACCCATGTATCCCTGATTCCAGTATCTCAGTATTTATGTATCCCTGTATATCCCTATATCACTGAATTCCTGTATTCTTGTACTCCTGTATCCCTGTATCCCTGTACCCTTGTATCTCCGAATGTAGTTTCAAATATAAACTAGAACACAGTAGTATCCAGGTATAGTGTTGATACTGAAACTGTAAAATCATCATCATAGTTTTCTCCTTTATATCATATACGGAGAAAGGTTATAAATATACAAAATTATACTGATCATTTTAGCCCAGCTTCTTTGTAATGTAATCTTTTAAACATTAATGTAATAACAAGTAAACCAAGAAATTGCTGGAAAAATTGTTTTGAACCAGTAAGTTCTAGAGTTTCATGGATTTTATTAGAAAACTAGCTGAATTACCCAGCGTTGCCCTGGTTACTTATAGTAGTTACTCCCGCCGTTTACCTGCGATTAATCTTATATCATGGTTTTAGCAGTGCCCAGGGTTACCCGTGGAAATTTTTTTTTAGCCTTGTCACCCCTCCTTGTCAACCCTCCGATACCCATGGGTTCCCAAACAAAAATGCAGCCAATTTAGTTCAGTAATTTGGCCAGCGAAAGCGAATATCTAACTGAACGAATAGCTTTATTATATAAAAAGACCCAAGCAAAAAGATACACTGAAAACCCTAAATCTTGTTTAACAATAATGTATTGCAGTATTGTACTGACAAAAATCTGCCTGAGTGTGTTTACATTTTGCAGTACACCTTTATGTAAACAAAGATATTTGGGTTCCTGGTGTATCTTACATGAATCAAAGTTTATAAAATTTGAATTTACACTTTACATCCTGTACTTCAACTAATTACATATAAAAATGTTAGAGAAAATAAACCGGTTTTCTCTTCTGGGAACTGAAAGATCTCATTCTAAGGAATTCAACAAAACCTCAGAAAATAATCTGTAAAATATTAAAGAGCTTGTCAACGAAAAAAGAATCAAGAAAAAGTTTTAAGGTTGGAAAAGCATGACTTAACAAGAATACAGTTAAAGCCAAATTATAATTATTAATTTTATGATAACAGAAGACATTATTTCTGACAATTATCTAGAAGTACTTTAATCCTAAACAGACGAGGGGGGGGGGGGTGGGCGTTTGACGTTTGACCCTCTATTTTTTTTACCTATAGCACTCTTTTTTTGACGCCATCATTTAATATTTTTTAACTTTTAAATAATGTTAAATATGAAGGATTTCATTTTTTATTTTTTTAATGCAAAGACAAGGGCAGAGGGCGGTTAAAGGTCCGGTCTGTGTTAAAAAATCTAAAATTGCCCAAACTTTTTTGTTATTAAAGCTATTTTGCTGTAGAAATATGTGTCAGAAATAAAATATTTTTTAGAATCTCCCCAGCACTCAAACTATATAAAGCGTTTTTCTTCAATGAGCATGCCTTTAGGTTTAGATTTAGACCCCCGCATGCAGGCCCCAGCCTGTATAGGGTTAATGCCTAAATAACGTCTTCAGTCAGCATTTCACATTCAGGTTTTGCAAACATTTTGATAAAAAATCCCTTTTTTTAATATTTGGAATTGCACATATTTTAAATCTTTATCTACAAATGAAAACTTGTGATTTTCGTCTGAGACAAACTTAAATTAAATTTGAAAGAAAGACAATAAATCACTTCAATCTTCTGAAAAGGGCCTGATCAAGGGGTATGGAATAAAATGGAAAAGGGTGTGAACCGGCCCGCCCTATCATATGATTAAATTTGCTTTGCATGCGGTACTTCATTTGAACAAGAAAAGAAATATTTGTCTAATGTACAAATACCGCATACATTCAGAATAGGTTATTGTATACATTTAACAGAGAACAAATTAGGCTAAATAACACCAAACTAACACATTTTTTTGGGGGTGAACAAATATTGGCAACACAAACGTATTTTTTATAATATAAAAATCGGTTCTATTGAAATTGAATAGTAAAAAACCATATTTAAAATTTTTTTTATGACGACCTTTTAAAACTCTGTTTCAAATGGAGTACCTTCTACAAAGCATGTATAATCATATGATAGGACGGGCCTTTCGATCCCTTCTCTATCATATTCCATACTCCTTGGACCTGATTCATTTGACGTAGTGTACTGTTCCAATACTGTACAGCTTGCTCTAGCTGCTTATAAAGCCCTACAGGTACTTGAAATAAACCTCGAGTTTACATTGAAATACATTTATAATGTATATAAATCCTGTTTAAATTTATTCAGTTGCATTTACAGGTTTTAAGATTTGGCGTTCCCTGCCATTATAAGTTTAGGTCCGTGAATGAAGCCCCTCCCCCTTTTTAAATACAATTAACCACTTGAAAAGCAACATTTAAACATATGAAAAATGTTGCTAGAAGAGGGGCGGGAAGGGTCTTGAAAACCTTAAAATATTTTCAATTTTTCAAGTAGCTTTTTATGTCCCTTAAAATTAGGTATTACAAATTACAATGCTAAATTCCCATGTTTAATGGGACACCCTGTATAACACTCAATCTATGATTTCTAGTATAAACTAGTTCCTGGCCAATACATACAAATATGTTAATGATCGTATACAGGTGAACTGAAGTTAAAACCAGATTTCCCTGGAAATTATTAAACCAGAAATATTTCTTTCTCTTATATACATACACAAGAGGACTTAAAGTTACTCCCACCGTTTATCCGCGCTTGGTCTTAAATTACGATTTTAACTTTTTTCCCTATTACTTTGAATCTCCAAACCGAGCTGAAAACATTTCCGTGATTATCCTAAGTTCCCCAAACAAAATTTGAGACACATCGGTCATGGGGTTCCTGAGCTATGATCAGACATGAAAACAAACAAACAGAGAAAAACAGAGATTACTTCTTTATTTATAGATAACTTATAATTTAGCTCCTATATGTAGTCCGTTAGAGGAGTCTTGAGAGCGCAATTTAAAGCTTAGTTTCCAGTCTAAACTATTAGAACCGAATTGGGATTTGCGTATTTTCAAATTAGACTATTAACTCAAAGACAAAGGAAATGAGTCTTGGCAGAAATACCTAAGTTTGAAATACCTAAGGTCCACAACATTTGGTTGCAAAGATATAGGGATTAGAAAATCAGAACTTGTGGCAAAGACTGGTATTTGAACTGAGTATGCAGTCTTGTTGTTATGGTTGGTTGTAACCTAGGAATTACATATATCAAGGAAATTATATATACAGAACTTGCCGCATTTTTTCGTTCTAGACAAAAAAAAATATAATGTTTAATTTGTCAAAGGAAACATTATCTTGGCACAACATTTGTTTATATAGATAATTCCTGATTTTGTTAATTTCCTTGCTCTGATTCCTATGTTGTTGAGTGTAGAAATCAGCATGCATGAAGATAATGCAGTTAAAGGGACTGCTCCTTTATATCCACCTGTTCATTCAAAAACAAAGAAATTGATTACTAGCAAAAAAAACTAAAATTTTTTTATTTTTATCCACATATTTTTTCAATTAGCGAATCTAATTTTCTAAACTATAAATCTTTAAGCACCGCAATGGTGTAATAATTTTTATTCAGCAAAAAATCAAGTTTGAAATGAAAAATTATAAAAATTGATTTTGTGGCGAATTATCAGTTTCTTTTTAACAATAATTTCATAACAAAATGTTAAGAGTAGACCTGGTTTGTGACAGATAAGTCCCTGGGTTTCTAATTCCCTGATTAACAATCCATATCCACAGACATATCTCTAGTTGTAAGACAGCTCTAGTCATGTAAACACAATCATTTCATCAAATATTTAAACATAAAACACACAAATTTATAAAAATTTTATATTTTCAAATAGGGTTTCCATTTTTTTTAATCAATTAACGGAATCT